GCGGCCGCGCCGGGCCGCGCGCGCCCCCGGGGCCGCCGGCCTGCAGCGAGCGGCCGTGGCAGGTGCCGGGCTGCCTGGGGGCCTCCAGGCTGCTCCTCCGGGGGCTGCGCGGGGCAGGGTGGCAGCAGGGAGGGTGCCGGGTGTGGGGGTCACGGGCACAGGGTGCTCCTATAGGAGCAGGGTGGGGGCTGCCTGTGTGCAGGGTCTTGGTGCCTGTGTGCTTCACTGTGTGTGTGTGTGTGTGTGTGTGTGTGTGTGTGCACGCACGCACGCACAAGCATGTGAGTGGATGTGCATGCATAAGTGTGCATACATCTGCGTGTGCCTGTGTCCCTCTGCGTGCATGTGCATGCATGAATTTGCACAGATCTGTGCATGTCTGTGTCCCTGTGTGTGTGCATGAGTTTGCATAGCTCTGCATGTGCATGCATGAATGTGCATAGATCTGTGTGTGCCTGTATCCCTGTGTGTAGGTGTACATCCATGAGTACAGACGTGTGTGTGTATTTATGTCCCTGTGTGTGTGTGCATGCATGGAGCTGTGTGTATGTCTGTGTGTGCATGTGCATGCATGAGTGTGCATAGATCTGTGTCTGTGTCCCTGTGCGTGTGTGCAGGAGAGGGCATAGGTCTGTGTGTGTCCCTGTATGCACGTGTGCATTCATGAGTGTGTAGGCGTGTATCGCTGTGTCCCTGCGTGTGCATGGGAGTGTATAGTTGTTTGTGTGTCTGTCTGTGTTCCTGTATGTGCATGTGCATGCATGGGGCTGTAGATGTGTGTGAATGCGTCTGCGTGCCTGTGTGTGCATGAGCGTGCACAGATGTGTGTCTGTTTTCCTGCATATGCATGTATATGCTTGAGTTTGCATGGATGAGCGTGTGTGTCTGTGTGCATGGATACGTGCGTGTGTGTATATGCCCCTGTATGCCCATATGTATGTGTGTGCATGGACATGTGGGTATGCATGTACATGGAAATATGTGTGCATGTTTCCCTCTGTGTGTGCGCATGCATGCGTGTGTATGTTTGCACACTAGTGTATAAGCATGTTAATTTGTGCCTCCGTGCATGCACGTAGATGTGTGTGTGTGTGTGTGCATGCACGTGTGTACCTGTGTTTGTGTCTGGGCACCAGGGGCGCGTGTTTGGACAGCTGCATGCCGTCATGCCAGACCACTTATGCGCACGGGGGTCCTGAGGGCATCCTCTGTGTGTGGGGTGATTGACCTGCTCAGGTGCGTGCAGGATCTGGCCCTTCCATCATGGGAGCCTGGGGAGAGTCTTGCTGTGCCAGGGCTGAGTTATTCCTGGAGCAGCATGAGCTCAGCATTCTCAGCCCTTGGGAGCGCTGACCTTCAACACCTGCTTTCATGCCAGAGTGATATACAAGACTGATGATTCAAAGGGAAAAGTCCAGAGGAAGGGAAATCTTTAAAATACTGCAGATTTGCCCAACCATTTGTGGTTACCCCTTCAAAACCATGCCGCACAGAGAAAAAATCCCAGTGCTTTGTTCTGGATTCCTGGAGCAGAGCCAAACCACTCATATTTAATCCAACACTGACTTCATTGAAATGTTTCCCTTCCAGTCACCTTTGGAAAGCTCCTGGCCCCCGTTGGTAATTTTTTTTTTTGGCGTGCGGAGGAAGATGCTGGTGCTCTGTGGGAGAGGATGTACACTCTGCAGCCAGGGTGTGCGTGGCTGATGTGCACTGCGAGGAGGGCACAGCCCCTGCTCATCGTTTTGGGGGGTTATGCAGTGTTTTTAGGCACTGACCGCAGGGAATAGAATCTGCCAAGGGCCTGGGAGAGCAAATCATCCCCTGGTACAGGTGTCGCTGAAGACGGTCCAGGGTCCCCTGACACTGACCCTAGACGACCAGCTTAGATGAGACACTTGACTCAGTGGTTTGAGGTTGCTGAGAAGAGTTTCACCCCCCCCGAGGTAATACGCCCCAAACGCAGTGGCAAGATTACAGGCAGGGAAATCCCTCCTTCCCTCATCACCAGCACTGAAACCTAGCCATGGGGGCTTCAAAATGTTGCTCTTTGGAAAGCAAACCAATATAGTGTAGGCTCTGTGCACCTCCTGCTACCTGAGCCTTTCGAGCAGCATCACATCTGTCTAAGGTGCACTAAGAAGTGCACGGTCCTTGTCTTCCCATTTTATTTAAAGATAGCTCCAACTCTCTTGAATCCCCATCCTTGGAGGTATTTAAACTGTGGCCTTGAGCAACCTGATCTAACTTTGAAGTTGGCTCTGCTCAGAGCAGGAGGTTGGACTAGAGACCTGCAGAGGTGCCTTCTAACCTCAGTTCTTCTGTGACTCTAAATCACCAACTATTCCTGACTCGAGCTGAGATCTCTGCCTCCAATATTCTCCTGTATCGGCTCCAGACTGATAGTAATGCTGGCCCTGGTCGAAGCCTGCCTTGGCTCTGTTACCTGTTGAATCCCTTTCAGGAGCTGCTCATTTCTCACACCCTAAGTCCAACCTCAAGGTCTTTTGAATTGCTCTTGCTTTTTGCAAGGGGATTGCTTTTGCATTTTTAAACACATGCAGGAATGTCACAGTGCGGGCAGAGCTGCTGCTCCTCGGCCATGAATCCGGCCATGCCAGCAGCCGGGGACATGCTTGTCGATCGTTCTCCTCTCCCAGGAGTGCCCAGCACCTCCGTGTGCCATGTGATGCTTGCCAGGACCTTCCGCGGCAGCATGATTCCCCTGTGTGATGGCCTTATTCGGGTGTCATTTAACTTACTGTTGTTTCTTACCTGATCCCTTTATTCTCCACTTTCTCCCACACTCTATCCGTCTCTCTGTCTCCCCTCCCTTGGCTGCCTGCTTTGCTAACGGCTCTCCTCTCGGCATTTGCAGGTGACCATGATGTTGCACCATGGGAAGCACTGGAGGTCCATGTGTAAGGGGCTTGTCCTGGGAACACTCCTGACCAGCTTCATGCTGCTGCTCTACTCCTATGCCATCCCACCGCTGCAAGTCAGCATGACAGAGTGAGTGCATGGCCCGCGCGGGCCCCGGGGCTCCCTGCTGTCCAGGAGCCAGGCGGAGCAGGAGTGATTGCTCCAGGGCAGGATATGCGAAGGTGGTCTTGGCCCCTAAGACAACCTGCTGGATCCCAAAAGGGTGCCTGTTTAGATCGTAGCTAGGCAGAAGGGCAGTGGCTTTCCATGGGGTGGCAACACGTTCCCAGGCATCCAGCATAAACATACATACCTGAGCTTAACAAGCTAGTTACATAGACACTCTTTGTCTAGGATTTGTTTCTGTCCTTTGTCTAGGACAGAAACACTGTCATGTGTATAATATTGCCTCACACAAAAGTGATGGCAGGTGAGTTCAATGTTCTTTGCAAAGGGACCTTGCAAAAACCTTACCAGGTCCTGTCTGCAAAGTCATTCCTGCAGAAAGCTCAGTATAAAAATGCGCAGCTTAAACCACTCCACACTGTGGCTGCCCCAGCCACTGCTGTGCTGGTGCCTGGTGGGGCTGACTGCAGGGTGAAGCTGGATAAAGTGACCGCAGCAGAAAGGGTCCTGGTCCTGCTGGTGATTGCAGCCCTCTGCAGCCTGGATCTGGGAAGGGAGGAGAGACTCCGTAGTGCCTTCCAGCCCGGCTGCCACCCCAGCTACCTGGAGGGAAGGGGCCCCTTCTGCTTGGGCTGCACTGGTGGAAATCAGGACTAGACCCAGGGAAGTCCCCGCTGATTCTCTAACAGCTCTTCCTTGGTGGCCGGACACGGCCCGGCTTCTCGCCCAGTGAATGTGTTTGGTTTCATGTCTCAGAGCCGCTGGCCAGAGCTGGGTTGTGGCTGAAGGCAGGTGGCTTGGTACCGAAAGGCACCAGCTCTTGAGCACTGGCTGGTCAGGGGTCTCAGAGGGCGCCTGTGGGGCGTGCATGGCTCACTGCTTGCTGAGGCGCTCCCGTCCGGGGGCTGCTCAGGGGGACGTTGTCATGCCCTGAGCCCTTCCCAGTTCCCTATGGGCAGCCGTGCCAGTGCTAGGCGGTGA